GGCAATCATTCATATCTTTTACTTAAGAAGTTATATTAAGTTTTTTGTTACTTATTGCTTGCCCCTTTTTACAGTGTTTCTGATTGTTAAATGTCTAAAACATTTGATTTGTTATGTTTGGTTGTATGACAATCATCTAATTTAACACAATACTGTATGCTAACTCCATACTTCTGATTGTCGACATGTTCTCAAACTTCACTGAATCTAAATGTTCCTCCAATAAAGTGATTTTGTGTTGCTGTAGAAAAGTCAAGCATTGGTTTCCTAACCATGAAATACATTCAGGAAACTAAAAGTGTGCCCGGTTTCCTCAGTTTGGACCAGGCACTTTTTGCCCCGTGGTCTCATGACGGCAGCCTCAGAGTGCAGAGATGAAACATGAACTAGTCTGCTACAGTGGAACGACTCCCTCCAACTCACATTTATAACCTCCAAAAATACAAAGTGTTCTAAAACAAGCCTGGCTTCTGTCCTGTCCAACTATGTCAGGTAAATTTGCAACACCATGGTTTATGATACGCTGACAAAACTGTTTTGTCTGAATGCCTCAACTTGCCTTTTCAGCGGTAGAACCTGATGCCTTTATCTTTTGTCAGTATTGATTCCTTTCCATCCACACGCTCTAAATATTAGGAGATATGTGATGTGTTAACAGCAGGCAGAAGATGTGTTTGTTTAGCTGCACGTCTCATTTTTATCTCTGTCTATGGATGCCAACATGATCCACATGAATACAATGGCATTAATCCAACAAACACAATGTTAGAGATGTGCATTGTTAGCGATGAAAAATGCGGGGGAAAAAATAAATAAATCACACCGTATGTAGAGAAGTGGAAAACTTTGTCTTTCAGATTGATTTGTAACCTCCAGGTGTGGATTAATTAGACATGTCTGGGCCAGAAAATAATGAAATTAACAACAACAATTTTTTTTAAAGGTAGTAAAATGGTTCCACCACAATGAAAAAATATTGTAGATTTACGATATTATTAAATTTACAACTTGCAATTGTAAGCTTCAAATCGTTAAGAAAGAAATACAGCAGGAAACAGACAGGGGCAAGCAGCATTGCAGATGCCTTCGACCTTCTAGTGATACACTAAATAACAAAAAGGAGTATCTTTGGAAGGTTCTTTGGTTTTCTTTTATGGAAACACACTGCTGTAAAGCTCTTTGTGAACAACTGCCTGAGGTTAAAAGCCCTTCTTTGGGTGTAGCTTTGGGGATGCCCTGATCATCAGTTATACGACCAGAGGTATACAGCAGTGTTGGATCAGCACTTTCAGCTTCAACACTCTGCCAGGAGGTTCGGTTATGTCACCCATTAAATGTCCTGACATCTTTTTTTTTAAATTGGAAGATGTGTTTGAGTGCCTGAGTCTATAACTTCTTTCCATCATGCATCTTTTAAGGAGACATTTAATCTGAAAAAATGCAGCCCGGCTACGTCTTGAGTGATATTTATAGTCAGCAGTCTTTCTCATTTACATAAAGCCGAGCTAATCAGCTTTCACAACAACAGTGAGGTAATGTCTTGGCAGGTCTCTTGGTAAAGCAAAATTTAAACGTGACCAATCCTATAAGAAGCACCCAATCGATGAGGCCTCGACAATACAGACTTTTTATTGAGAGTGTTTTGGCAAGGAGCGGCAAGTCTATTATTCAAAATTGCCTTTCTAATGCACAGTCGGACTAGTAGTAGTATTTTAGGTGTAGCTAATCTACTAAGAGGAATTAAAGCTGACTACAGGCAGTTCCTTGTATGATCAATAACAGACGTATTGAAAAGACCTACCATCTGACCCATGGAGGTTTTTATACATCCCATGTAAATAAACATATATTGAAGTAATATATGGAGTTTTTCTATTTAGACTTGACTTTCAATTCAAGGCTATAACCGTTTTTTTTTTTTTATTCCACATAGTAAATTATGGCACATCTGTACTTGGTAAAATTGACTTTGAATTACATCTTTAAACTGTTCTGTTTTTAATGTTTTTCTATATTGTTGACATTTATTGTTGCATTTACTAAAGTCACTCAACGAGTTGTAAGCTGGGGATGTCAAATTTGTCAATTTATATTCATTATATATTCATTTATATTCATTTCTCTGTGAGTTGTATTCTTTACTTTTTTTACTTTATGGCTCTTTGGTTTTTGATTGATAGTTAACTTGAAGAATCTGTACACTTCTCAAACTCACCTCTAGGGGGGAAAGTATATCTAAGATAGCTACAGTGTGCCTTACTCTAAGCACCTCGGTTCACTTAGCACATTTTCCCTCCTTTATACAAAAGCACATACAGTCAGGCGGGTGAAAACATACTACAGTACATGTACAGTACAGGTACTTGAGGAGATGCAATAGAATGCAACGATCAAACAGTTTCTGTAGTGACACGACACACTAACTCTAATTATTGAGCATGTATTTGACAGGGGAGGAGCATGACTCAAAGGAAGGCAAAGGCATTTGGACATATTTATTTTGTCCTCCTGCCTTTTGACCAAACTCTCATCTTCAATCTTGTGCTGTCGAAAAAGGGCCAGAGGTGGGAGTGTCTGTCCCTCTCTCTCACAGGGGCCACTGTGAACATGGAGACCGCAGGGTCAGGCCCTGGATGCTCCTTTGGAACTGTTGTGAAATCTGAAATGTATGTGGAGGGAGACCGGGGGGAGTTATCGTGTCTGTCTCCCTCATTGCCAGTCAGGCAGCAACCTTCTTCACCTTCTTTCACACACTTTGTTAGGGTCAAGCCTCCTGTTGCCAAAACCAGCAGAGGGTCTTGAAGGCATGACGTTCCTGTGGTCTCAGTTAATGATCAAATATCAAATGTCATTGCAGAGACTAAGGGATCACAGAACTGCATTTCCATCAGTGCAGCTCTCTGGATCTGATTTTAAAAGGAAAAGAAGAAACATCACTATATATACACGTACTAGTTTAGTACTTTACCGATAACGGCGAGTTCATCCAACCCCTTGAAAAAAGCCCATGACTATCCTTTGACTTGTCCCTTCATCAGGGTTCACCACATTTGGCTTTTTACACAGATTTAAGTTTTTACACCGAATGCTCTTCCTGTTGCAGCCCAACCCAAGTGGGGGTCCTACCACTGCACCACTGTGGCCCCAACGCTCCCACAGATTGTATTTAAGGGACCCTCCAGTGTTTAGGTTTGATGTAATGTTTACAACTGGTTGTTCCCACAAATATGTTTTCTGTGGTTGTGGATGAATGAACAATTGTACCAGTGCGTGTGATTGTATTTAAGTAAGTTTGCATCTGATCTGTGGCTCGTACTCTGCCTAAAGGCTCAGGCAAACAATTCATGTATGTTTTGCAGTTCTGTCTGTAGTTCCACGTCTCCTCACTTCAGCAACTTCCTCCCTGACTGACAACACATCTCACCTTCTACAGATGCCTCTACAAGTAGCATCAGGAAAGCCAGGTGGGGTGAGGGGTGAGGGGCTGCACAGGAATGAGAACTAGAAAAAAAGAACCAAATGACCTCATCAGAGTTTTTACACGTGCTCTCTCATCTGACACCAATGTGTTTCTGATCTTAAAGTTTTTCTGGAGAGGGAAATGTTTCCTGTTTGAATAGGCTCCTGGGTTCACCAAGGAGTCGGGGGGGTCGGGTTGCTCAGTCGACGTCTGGTTCTGTTGAAGAAGATTCACCATTTCCATCAAACAGCAGCTCTGTTTTGGCACACCTCTGAAAATTGACCCTGGTGGTCAGTAATGTCTGGGGGTCTGAGGAAGAGTTGAGGCTGACTTCATGCTTCAGTTTGTGAAAAAAGAAATAGTGATAAATGCCACTGGTTGTTTTTGTTTAGTTACATTACATTTATTTGAACTAAAAACAAGTTACAGGCTTCATTTCTAAACGTTTGATTCTTGGTCTGTACCAAAAACTAGAAGTGTTTTAGGAGCTAATTAGAATCACATGTTTATCCTCTCATCTGTTTATGTCTGCTTCTTCCAGCTGAGTTACACTTTTTAATGCATGCCCAAGCACACCTGGAGAATGTGTGCGCAGATGTGCAGCAGTTCATGTACACTTGTCAGAGTGTTTTCTTTCCTGTCAGAATCTTTGACTGAACTGAGTAGCAGTGCGCTGCACAGGGTCATCCGCTGACATGAGCAGTAAGCAATCCTGTGTTGGTCTTCTTCCAACTGAAATGTGATAGTACACGAGAGGTGTGTACGTGCGTGCCCGTGTGTCTGTGCACATCCATGCATGTGTTGGTCTGTGTGTGTGAGTGTGTGTGTCTGCCCTACCTTGTCCAGACTGGTTCCTGTCTTGCTAATAAAAGAGATCTCTTTTTAGTTTAGGATACTGATCTCTCCACACAAGTTTAAAGATCTCATTCACGGTTCACACTGCATTTGCCCCTTAATGTCTCACAGCAGGCCCCCAGTCCCAGGCTGTGATTCATGGAGTGACAGGTCTACCTCTGACTGCCATAAGGGCCCAATCAGACAGGGTCTGCCCCAAACACACATGCAGACAAAAACACGTTACGCCAGTGCTTACATGCATGCATTTGACACTTATTTATTTCATCCCGCATCTTTTCTTTGGATCAGGCATTTACATAAATACGATAATCTAATAAACAGTCCAATTCAAAAGACCTTGTGGTTCATTCTTTGTCTTTGCTGATTACTTTCTTATTTCTACTTTCTGGTGGAGCGTGCTTAATCATTTTGTTCCTCTTGCATCAATAGACAGTGTTTCAAAGTCTTGCACTGTTTTTGACATGTAATGGGATTTAATGCCTCATTACATAAAGACAGCTGTAATGGTGTTTCCTGCAGACTTGAAGAGACACAAGATTAATCATTTTAATGATTGCACAACTTGTGATTCCAAAAAGTGGTACCAGTTTTTCGATCCCTTTTTACCCAACTAGGGGGTTTACTTTTTTTTTTTTTTTTTTTTTTTGCAATGTATTCAGTGTTTTCTTTGCTTTGTTCTCAGTGTTTCCGGGCACTGTGCTGTAAAGGACCTCCACCACCAAGACCTGAGTATGACGTGGTGTGCATTGGGCTGACAGGAGCTGGAAAGACCAGCCTGCTCTCGCGCCTCTGCAGTGAGAGCAGTGACAATGTCGGTCCGACGACAGGTAAGCGTATGTTTGAAATGGATCAGTAGGAAAAATGCTTTCTAAAAATCCAGTTCCCAGATGAGTTGGGATAATACATTAGCTGAGGTTGTGCCTGTTGTTTCTACACAAAACTATACAGCTGCTCAAGAATTTGTGGTAGAATTTGTGCAGGTAATCTTCCATAGAAGAGCTAAAAGCTAGGCAGTCCAATCAACAACATCCTGTTTGGTTAATTCTGAAGAACGATTGATTGCTTTTTTTTAGTTGAGGTCATGTAAATAAAATCCATATAAATATATATTTTTGGACAGTACACACACATATATGCACACGTGTGTATATATATATATATATACTGTATATATAATAAAATATACTATATTTATTTAATTTTATTATCAATTATATAACTACTCTTTTAGAAGTATACCAGATTTTTAGAACTTGGGTTTGTCCCATACAGACTTCACTATTATCCTCCACAACACTGCACAACACTCTTCACTCACAGTAGTTCTGGCAGACGTTCCAAGCTTATGAAATATTTTAAGTTTTGAAGAACAAGTTGTCCTCTGGATTAATATCCCAGATAAATTTGTCCAGGTATTACATTTCGTACTGTTCTCCAATAGAAGGAAGTACGTTTTTGCTATTTCTTTCTAAGGTCTGAGCGCTAATCCCAGAAGGCCTCTGCTGTATGTCACCAGCCAGAATGCAGCTTATCTTCTTCAGTGGGAGGCTGGTGCAAAGTATGTCCAGAAGAGCAGGCTTCAGCCTTAGTACAACATCCTCCTGGTAGTCAGTGCTGGTCGCTCAACATACGAGACCATTCCTTTAGGAGTCGAACATTCTTCACTCCTCCCCTTGGCTTTGGCTTTGCATTCAGCTTTGAGAAATTCTGTTTGAGCTTTTGGTCACTGTTCACTTTGACCAGTACAGTTTAAAGTTCCCACATGTGCTGCTTGCAACCGTAGTCCCGTTTGTGTGTGTGGCAGGCGGGAGTTCAAGGGAGTGAACACCTGTCAGCGCCTGCCACTGAGCGACCCTTAATTGATAAAACATGTCGATTATTTACCCTGAGAGGGAATGTTTCAGTGCACCTCTCTAAAATACCATTTGGTTGTCATCCCAGTATGCATCTGCCCGACATCACCAGTGGAACAATGAGTAGGAAGTCCCCTGTGGCTCCACCCACTTCATGCTCCATGATTTAACTCTGCTCAAGCCCACATTTACCAGTTAATTCATACGTGACCATCATAATAACACGTGTTCCTCATCTCCTCTGGATGTTACTGGCAGATGAATTCCCATCAAGACAATTTTGCATAATTTGAGTAACTTTAAATCACTCTTCTTTTATTTCTTTTTCTCTTACTCTTCTCCATTGTATGCAGCCACAGAAAACCAACCCCAAAATACATGGTAGCACTTTAGACATCAGCTCAATCCTGCCCTACCTCCAACATAGAACAATAAACTTTTCTCTATGACTCTCTTTGTTTTTCGGTTTTGCTAACCCAGACCTCACAAAGTGTTATTTTCCTACAACACATCGATGTTGATAGTCTTCTTGTTTTCATTCAGCTGGAAGTTTGGAAAAGGTACACCTTCTCCTATGGAGAGTAAATCATAAAGTGGTTTTTAAAGTCATTTTATCCCACATTATTACAAGATGATTGAGCCAGCATTCCTAAGAGCTGACACACACATATGCCATGTCAGTACAATGATGGATTTTTATTTTTCTCCTCTTAGGTTTCAGCATCAAAGCAGTGCCATTTCCAAATGCCATCTTGAATGTAAAAGAACTTGGAGGTAAGAAATTCATTCTTGATCTTTCATCTTATTTTGACAGCTTTACAGAATTGGTGAATTTGTTAGAGCTATCAATATATTATAATTGTAGTTTGGTTTCTTTACTACAAAACACTCCACAAAGTTGTTTTGCCCAAACGAAACCATGTTTCACTCTACGTAACATATTTGACTATTACCTCGTAGCCAGATGGAATGTTTATACACACAACTTTGTTGGTTTTCTTCTGCAGTAGCATCTCACCTTTGATTTCAAGGCAGGTGTTTGCGTAGTGACGTCGGTGCTGTTTGTGTAATGTGAAGTGGCTGCGGAGTCTGCACACTGTGCTTCCTGGAAATGTTCCGCACTCGAAGAAGCTGTTTAATAAGCACAGATGAGGGATCTTGTGGTAGAGATACGTAAACACAGAAAATGCATCGGGAGGCCTCCCGTTCTCCCAGGAGCCACGAGAGAGATCAGCTCTGTCTCCTCCACCAGCAGCTCTGTGACACAAAATAATTTATTGTTTTGTTGTGATTGAAAGAATTTATGTTGTTTTCTGTCCACTATAGGCACATGACAGGTGCAGTCCATATTTTCAAGGCTTACCCAACCTAGTCTGAAAAGATAAAACACACACACACACACACAAAGAGGCACCAGGGGACCACCAACAAGGGTGCTACCAAATTTGGACAGGGTGCATTAAGGAGGTTTCAAAAGAGGTTTTCTGGATTGGGTCAAAGAAGCCAGTCGGATGGGACATTATTGTGGTTGGAAAAACACTGGTCCCACGGATGACAGGTTTGATTTAGGGGCGTTAGTATTGGCTGCCACCGCAGCCCCCTGCCTGGACCCTCACTACCAGGCTCCTTTCTTGTAAATGCACAGAGCACAAGAATTTGAGCGATTTATGACGCTATCTGTTATGGTTGCGTTGGGTGGTGCGAAAACAAGCACGTGATGTTTTGACACCTTTAGTGACTAAATTTTATGTGGCGTAACGTATCGCATTTATGTTACTGTCTGAAGCATCTCGTGGAAATGCAAACCTTTAGTTTGGCTTTGTGACGACAAGCGATTGTTAGTTCTAAAATGTCACACAAGGAATTTTTTTGATTGAATCTGAATGGAATCTTCCTCAACACTCAACGTTTTTGGCACTCCTTTTCCTTTTTTCTCTCTTTTGTATTCTTCTGCCTTTAAAAGTAGCACATTAGCTTATGTATTTTTGTGCAGCGTGAATCTTTCAGAAAACTGAAACATGACGTGATGCTCAGACACTGGTAGTCCTAACTCCACAGACTTGTTACCGTACCTTTGTAGTAATACTTAGGAAAGGAAAGTGAACTCCTTGTCATTGTGACACAGCACATCACTGCAATCAACCAAATGTGACCTCTAATTTTAACCCATCACCAAAGTGAACAGTGGGCAGCTTTAGGGGAGCAGTGTGTGTGGACGGTGCCATGCTCAGAGCAGCTCAGTGCTAACTTGGCAGCTGGTGGACTCAAACCTGAAGCCTTCTGGAGTCAAGTCTGCTTCCTTAACCACTAAGCCACCACTGGCTCACTAGCTTAGTGGTTCCTAAAGTAAGGTTTTCTAACCTGCTGTCCTCTTATTTAAAGTCTGCTCCTCTTACCACTAGGCCACAGACTGCCAACACTGCATGGACATTGATAAAAAAAGTAAGTATTAACTTACTCTGATAAACAATTTAAAATGAAATTATTCAATAAACCTCAGGGAGGGAAAAAAAAGTCTTGCCTTCTTTTGTTTGGCTGATGCTGAAGCTGATATTTGCTCTGAGGGACAAAGGTATGAATATAAATTTGAACAGGAAGGAGGTAGACTGGAAATGAACAGTTAGGTTAAACAGATACAGCACGAAAACTGGGAATTTGACACTAGGAATTTGCCCAGGAGACAAGTCTCTGTCCTTATTTGTTGATTAAGGCTATGAAACCATGTTAGTGGTTCTGGGTCACAACCAAAAACATTTATTGTTGTGTTTTAACTCTTCCTGCTTAGAGTGAACTGGAAGTGAAACCTGTCCTTTCAAACCAGAGGCACAGAGTCAGGGTTCACACTGCACTGATGTATGATGTATGTAGAGCAGGCTACGAGTTTGTCTCACTCTCACATTGTTATTGAGAACTGTGCCGTCTTGTTTCCATTTGTTACTGTACTCATCTTCAGGTCTGGTTTGTGTCTCTGGTTTTGCGCCTCCAGTTTCCCATCCTTTTATCTTTCTCTAGCGGTCCTTCTCGACTTGACTCGGGCTCCGAATCTGCCTTCGTCTGCAGCTAGTGTTTTTAAACAACGTGCAATAGTGCAAAGTGCAATACAAAATATGAAACACGGCTAACAGCTGTGCTATAATTAAATCCAAAGTCTGAGTGAAACCTTAACCTAAACAGATATATCTAGCGTAATTTCCGATTTATAAACCACAACTTTTTTCACACGCTTTGAACCTTGCCTCTTAAACAATGATGCGGCTTATTTATGGATTTTTACAGGCTGACAAAGTTTAAACCGCTAGCGATCGATGACCTTTCCGGTTGCGTATGTCTGTCTGTGAATGGCTGCGTGAGTATATGTGCGTGGAGCGTGCGCGAGAGAACGGAAGCGAAGGTTGAGAGCAGTTTGAACCTTGTCATGTTTATGTACTGTTGTCCTCGGTGTGGCTGATAATAAACTTCCCTGTTTCTGTTTACCTCTGCTGTGGACAAGCACAAGTGACGGGAGTTAGCCCCGGAGGTGGCTATGGTTAGCTTCCGCTCAGGAGCAGATCACTAAGTCTCCCCTGTGCAACTACGGTTGGGGTGTCTGAAGCAGGAAAGAGCTAAGGTGTGTTTCTTTTTAAATATAGCTGCTTATATTCAGCTACGCTCAATTTACGGTAAATACGTTGGCCTCTACAGCTCAACAGCAGTGTGTTTAAAACTTAAACAGGCTTAAAAAGAGCAGCGTGGTTTCCTTACAGAGATCATCTATTCTTAGTCGGGAAATTAAAACTTAAAACACTGCCATAACAACAAGGCCAAACCATTGGCAATATCACCATCATCATTTCTGTGAAATTCAGCAGCATCATAGTTGTATTTGAACAATATATTAAAAACTGTAATGTACTTCTAACAGAGTTTATTATGTACTTACGATATACTTATGTACATTAAGTATCCTCAGCCGGTTGCTACTTAATTTTCACCCCAACTGCTTCAGAATAGGTTAAGATAAGTTTAACACCTCGTAGGGTTCAAGTGCTTTAATCATCGTCTATCTCTAGAATTTTCTGTTTCACATTTGTTTTTCAGTCGCGTGATTATCGATAATATGTGTGCGATTGGGAATTATGGGGGATTAAATTAAACGCATTAAATTATTTTGCAGAAACACTGTGGCAAAACGACATCTTCACACATTGTAATCATGTCATTTTTAATACGTCATACTTTCATGTGATTGACATTGAGGTTTTAGATCAAGTCATTTAAATTCCTGCCCGCTTTGTGCCAGGGTAGAGGGATTAAAAAGGAAGGGCACCTCTGGGGATGCAGGGAGGAATCTATTAAGTGCTTGCATGAGTCTATGTATATGTCTGGACAGTGACATGACGTCAGGTCTAGACGGACTATTTCACAGGGTCATGCCACGCAATGACAGCTGATGAAGAAGTGGGTCTCATAATCACTGCTGGTCACTGCTCTTTATTTTGTTGAGCCTTTTAAATTGGAGTGGACAGAGTGACACGTACAGGTATCATTGTCGGTAAATCTTTGAGTCAGTGAGTGACTGACTGAGGTGTAGAACATATATTAGACAAATATTTTTCCTAAACGATTTGGTGAAAGAAGTGGCAGATAAAGATGTTACTTTGTTGTTTTTGTCATATTTATGAATGTGGATTTAAATCGATTAATTACATTTATGATTAATTGCATAAATCCCTAGCTAGTGTACTATAAAACATGTATCATTGGGACTGCCTTAAAAAAGTATCAACTATAAAAGGCTATTGTTCTATTGCTAATCTGTGGGGTAATTTAGCAATTTCCAGTCCAGTGCTTTCAGTGGATGCAATGACAGATGACTAAAGTCTACGTTTATTAGCAGCTACTGTGGTGAACAGAAGATATAAAACGAAGGCGAGGACAACATCACAGAGAATCAATCAATTGTGTTTGGGCCACCAACCTACAAAGGAAGCATTTGAAGACATCTCAGAATAAAACCACTCCATTTTAGTCATCGCCGACCAAAATGTGTGTTTCATTTCTATCAAACGTGACCACAGTGTGAGCTGCTTTGCCCAACAGGGAAAGTTTGTCTTGATCAGGAAGAGACCTGACCTAATTTGTAAATTGTCATATGGGTTTCTAACAGATGTTTGCAGTCGTGGACTATTCTTATTTTCAGGATGGAACTTTTAATGGATCACTATTTAAGGCCTCTCATTCAAGGATGGTCCCACAAGTGTTGTTTTTAATAGTTAGTTGAGGTACACAGCACAAGTTAAATGTTCCATATTGTAAACCAGTTTAAAATAAATTCAGTAAAAAAAAAAGACATGACAGCAGCTGCAACATGGTGTAAAACAAAAGTAAAATAAAAAGTAAATAGGTATAATTTTTTAATGTCATTTTTTATTGGCTTTGTCACTGTTACAATTGCACTTAATATTCTTTATCGTTAATGTTGTAGGGGCCTGTGCATGTATCAGTGTAGGAGATTTCAAGCTAAATGAATAGACAGAAAGGGTGTCACTGTTATTTATTTATTTTATAAAATGACTTCATCAACACAACAACTGACATCACTGTTGCCAACCAATCCCACACCACTC